AGACAGCATAGCTCCTAGGATCATTGGGACACTCAAACCCCTCCACCACGATAAGGTAGCAGCCCAAGGAGAGGAGCCCTAATATTGTCCAAGATTAACCTTCAGGGTGGATATAGCTCGCTAGCAGCCTCGCACCGAGGACCTATCCACGTCATCATTTACCCAGAATGCTTTGTGTGGAAATAAAATGGCTCCGTCCGTGTTAAAATATGTTGTAGAAAAATTACAAAACCAAACAGCCTTCTTACAGTCTTTATTTTATGCTTAAAATAAATGTTTATCAAATAAAGTTTAATGTTACAAATAATCGGGGATCCCTTTAAAGTTTGTGTGCTTGTTTTTCAATGCAAAGTGTGAAGTGAGAGAACTGTTTTTATTGTATTTTTGATTTCTTTATCATTTTTTTGGTGAGGTCCTTTTTATCCATATTTWTCACTGTAGAAAAAACACACATAACATAAAAAAGTGCAATTAATGAACACAAAACAAGTAAAACCGGCGGGTTTTTGTGACAATATCTGTTCAGAACCAGCACACAGTTGCTTTTTTTGAGAACCAAAAAGCAGATCTTGGGTCTGMGATGTGGCCCTGCGGCGCTGCCAGGAAGATGGGATCTTAGAGTTTGTGAGAACACACACAGATGACTATCAGAATAAAAGAGCTATAAAAAAATGAAGAAAAAGTTTATAAACGAGGCCTCCTCTTGGCCAGTGGAGTGTCAGGAGGTCATCGCAGGGTTTGTTTTGTAGCTGCGTTTGGTTGCAGGGGCAGAAAGAGAAGCACAGAAACCTGCTTTCATTTCAGTCCAAATAGAACACAAATCCTTGTTTTTTCCTGTTTTTGTTCCCRTCCATCGGCTGCTTACAAACTGCAGCTGCGGAGTCAGTGCACACGGGGATAAAAAGACCAACATCGCTCCGCTTCTCTTCCCACACATTCTGAAGAAGTCAAGTTTTTTGTTTCTTTTCCTCAAACACATTTCTGTGAGCTTTAAGACATTTTCTCCGAGAGAAAAGAGCACAAAATGTCATTCTTTTTGTTAACAACAAGAAGAATCGTTCTTTAAGTAGAAAAAAAAAAAGGAAGAAAGTGTCGCTGCGCATTTTCTGTCTGGTGGCCTGCTCAGGTGGCAGGCGTCTCTGTGAAGGTGGGAGATGTAAACGCCCTCTAGAGGAGAGCCTGAGATCTGCGCTGACCCGGGTCCCACGGGCGCCCTGAAGCCCCCAGAGTCCGGGCCCGGGTTCGATTGTCAGCCATGCCAGGAGTGAATCAGTCTCCCTCCTGCAGATGGTGCATTGTTGTTTTCTTCACACAGAATACAGAAGCTGAGTGCGGCAGATGGTCGTTTCTTATGTTCCATGAATGAAAAACAGCAACAACTTAGGAAAAATGTTGAGTATTTAAAAGCACCGCAAAACACTAAGAGTTGACTAAATTGATATTTAACGTGTTTCCCACACCTCCTCACCAAAATGACTCGATAATGTAAGACTGAATACAGAGAAAGAAAAACAACGTTTCATCAAACTATGTGTGTGGATTGGCAGTGTCCAAAGCCCACGAGCTGCATGAGAGCAGCCGGGGTTCACCGGGATGATGTGTGAAGTGTCGACTATTGCAAATGTGAAGGTGTCGTTTTAAAGAAACAACAATCTAGCTACTCCTCGTTTCCCTCCTCCGCTCCTCTCCGTTGGTCACTGAGTGCAACCGTTTTTTTTTAGAAGAGATGAGCATTTTGTAGCATGACTACCCGTCCCTCTGTCCTTTGACTCCGCCTCTTTACTCCCGCCTTCCCACTCGTCCTTCCTGCCCTCAGATGTGCCTCTTCATGTGCAAGGCCAGGTGGTCAGATCGAGAGAAACACCTGCAGACAAGAAGACGTGCAAATTTCTCGTTAATATTCAGACTTTTATTCATATACAACTGCAAAAAAATAACAGAAGAAGCAGGAATATATACATACATATATAT